ACGAAGGGGTGGGTGAGCATGGCAGGGCAGGACCTTCACAGGCCCGTGTCCCCAGATGTGGGAGGGGGCCAGGGCGCCCATCCCTGCGGAGGCTCTGAGGAGCACGGACGGTGACTCCGGGCCTGAGGACCTGGTCTACACCATCGAGCAGCCCAGCAACGGGCGGGTAGCGCTGCGGGCGGCGCCGGGCACCGAGGTGCGCAGCTTCACGCAGGCCCAGCTGGACGGCGGGCTCGTGCTGTTCTCACACAGAGGTGGGTGCTGAGGGCCAGGCCCTGGGTTCCTGCTGCCCACGGGGGAGCACTGAGGCGGGGAGCCAGCTCGGGCCAGCGGACCCAATGTCCCCGTCCCCAGGAGCCCTGGACGGAGGCTTCCGCTTCGACCTCTCTGATGGCGAGCACGCTTCCTCCGGACACTTCTTCCGAGTGACAGCCCAGAAGCAGGTGCTCCTCTCGCTGGAGGGCAGCCGGACCCTGACCGTCTGCCCAGGTGGGTGTGCTGACCGTGGGCGTTCCTGGTTGCTGGGAGCCCAGGAGGAGCTGAAGGTCGCACACCAGGGTGACGCTGCCTCTCTGCAGCCACAGGCCTGGGCCTGGATCCCAAAGGCTGATGGTGTCTTTTGCCTCTGGCAGGGTCCGTGCAGCCACTCAGCAGCCAGAGCCTCAGAGCCAGCTCCAGCGCCGGCGCTGACCCCCAGCTCCTGCTCTACCGTGTGGTGCGGGGCCCCCAGCTGGGCCGGCTGTTCTGTGACTCCCCAGCCCCAAAGGCAGCCCCCTTCATCTGTGACTTAGTCTGTTGTAGTGGTGAGCTGACACATCCAGGTGTGACCGAGCCCCTCTGTGGCACGCCTCTGCCCTGTTCTAGACATATCTATAAATACTCATATATATATATACATACACACCTGCCGACCGCCTCACCTCTGGCACTGGGAATCAGTCACCATGCTGTCCTTGTGGAGTCTTGCGGCCAAACAAGAGAAAGCTGTCCCCTGACATTGCCCCTCCAAAGTGCGCCACCTCCAGTGAGCCTCCCTGTCACCCAGGCCCCGCCATCCCTCCCGCCCCCGCCAAGCATGGCAGTGCTGTGCAGGCAGCCCTGTGGCCTGACGGTCTCTACCAGTCCTGCTTTCCCTCGGCTGAGAGTCAAGCCCATTTCTGGACAACAGGGAATGTGTCCTCTGTGGACTGTGTTCTCTGTGGAGCTCAGGGGAGGGGAAAGGCCAAGCGATTTCTGGGGTGCTGTTGGGAGCAGTGAAAACGCCCCACCCTTTCCAAGGGACACTGTTCCCGGAAAGCCCCTGGAGCTTAGCTGGTCTTATCCTGTGAAGCCGGCTGTGGCCACTAGGGGGCAGGAGGGCCATGAACTCAGCCTGGAGGGAGCCTGCGGGCACCCAGCACTCTGGAGGGACAGACAGAACAGGCCACCAGGTGCAGACAGGAGAGGGAGGCAGGGGGCTAGAAGAAAGATGCCTGGGGTGGATGGAAGTCAGCGCCCTTGGGTGCTGGTACCTGCCTTCCCGGCTCGATCAGGCTTCTGAGCCTGCTGGTTGTCAGGGCCGGACGTGCCATGGCAGTCCCCGGGAAATCTCCCAGGTGTCACCAGGCAGCACACAGGTAACAGGCCTGGAAGGTCCCCAACAGCCCAGCTGGACATGCTCAGACACTCTGGGGCTCCTCGTTCAGTGGCACAAACTCCAGGACCAGTGAGGGAAACGGGAATACTCCAGACCGAGCAGTGTGACTAAATCCATTTTTTCCAAAGTAAAAAGCAAAATAAACAGGAGTTGCATCACCAGGGAGCCACGACCCCAACCCCGCCTCCTTCCTCTGTCCTCTGCTATCAATAAACAAGTTGCCCAGGCGCAAATAATTAGTAAAACCTCCTCCCCATGTGCCAGTTCCAACCTCTGCCAGGTACGATACAGGGGGTGCCCCAAACCCCTAAAATATACAACATGTTACACAGATACAATATGTACACTGGGGAAGGGGGGCACGCCCAGCAGCCCGTGCCCTCGCCTGGTCCACAGTTAGTGCCACTGTCCTGCCTCAGCTGCCTCTCTGAATAAGAAGATGGGACCCCCCTGAGGGAAAAGTTGCTTTGGTGAGGGGAAGGAGGCCATCAGGCTCCTCCAAACCAACCAACTCCAGCAGCCTCTGGCTCTTAAATAACAACCATCATCATCCAGAGATTTGAGGACTCAGCCCTGGTCAAGGTGGCAAAGGGTCTGTTGGTCTCCCCCCATTAGATAGGGGTCTTGTCTTGCTACCCTAATAATAAAGGGGTGACTGGGAAGGGGTGGGAGGGACATGGTGGGGGCAGAGACTCCAGCCCCCCTTCT